TAAAAAAGGATATTAGAGCAAAATGCGCTGTCACAAATTATATAAAGTGGATAAGGAGAGAGGAGAGGAGATATAAACACACTGGAAACGAGAGAGAAGGAGGAAGGTGGGGAAGAGGAAAATTGTGGGAGGAGAGGGAAGGAGAAGAGCGGAGGATCGGGAAGGTGGGTTTATACATACATGCATACATAGGTATGCACGCATGCGCACACAGGCATACACACATAAATATATCTATTACCTCCCTCTGCATCATATCAACGGCTCGGGTGACTTCGGGCTCCATCATGTAATTCTCGTTGAAGGTCTGGGTGAGGGTGTGGGACAGCTCGGCCATCACCTGCTCCTCGTACACGTAGGCGAGGACGCCGCCCACAGCCTCCAGCAGGAACACCAGCAGAAGCAGGAACGTATACTGGCGGTGGGTGAAGGGCGGTCAGCAGGAGATACAGTTTGGATTTGATATCAAAGTGAAACAAACTAAAAAAAATAGATCACTTTGAAATGCTCTTTCTAGCCGAATAGAAACATATCTTCAACCCAGTGAAATGCCCTTTCTTACAAAACGAACTATCTGCGAACAAACAAACAAAACTGACTCCACCCTCTTTTTAACGGACTAAAATCTCAAAACAAACGAAAAAGAATCAGTTTGTCCGACTAAGGACACCTACCACCAGCAGGGAGCAGCGGTCCTCCTTCAGGATGGCGCAGCAGGCGAGGAGCGCGGCGAAGATGACGACGATGCCCGCCAGCAGGAGGATGTAGGCCACGGAGGCGTAGGTGGTCGTGGTGAGCAGGGACACGTAGTGGTGCTTCTCCGTCAGCGTCCAGATGGCCACGCCCAGCACGGCGCAGCCCCCGAGCTGAGGGCGGGACGGACGTCAGGCGTGGGTGTGGGGATGCAAGTTCTATATCTATCTATCTATGTGTATATGCATATGAACACACGCACACGCTCATGTAAATATGTCCGTGTGTGTGTGTGTGTGTGTGTGTGTGTGTGTGTGTGTGTGTGTGTGTGTGTGTGTGTGTGTGTGTGTGTGTGTGTGTGTGTGTGTGCATATATACATACATATACAGGTAGACATAAAGGTAAATTAATAGGTAAACAGATATCTACATATATATGCACACACACATACAGTCTTACGTCACGAGTCAAATGCAGTGACACGGAGATAAGTCGCTCTCACTCCCGGATGGAGGACGGGGATATATGTGTATGTATGTATGTATGTATGTATGTATGTATGTATGTATGTATGTATGTATGTATGTATGTATGCATGCACGTATGTATGTATATATGTATGTATATGTATATATACATATATATACATATGTGTGTATATATATGTATACAGACATATTCACGCGGCCAAGGCGGTGCCCCCAGTAGCGCCCGGGCACCTTTCGCACGCACGGCACCCCCGCCCTGCCTGCATGGTGACGTCAGTGCCTCCGCCGGAGCACAACCCCGCAGTGAGGGAGGATATGACGTCACACATCAGGGGAAAATGGTAACTGGGTCGGCAAGGGAATCGGACACAGACATCGCAACTGTTCTCTCTCATTAACCCTAATGGCCACTTCATAGACATGGTTAGATGCCGGTTAGATGAATCCTCAAGTGTTTTAGATTAATTAGATTTTAGAAATTAAGAAATGCCTGAAGAGATGAGTGTCCTTGCCCTTGTTCTCCATCCGGGAGAGAGAGCGACTTGTCTCCGTGTCATCGCCTCCGACGCGTGACGTAAGACTTCCAGAAAACCTGAGTCTTATTCATATTTGCCTTCTCTCCATGAAGGAAAAAATAGGTCGACGGACGTTGATATTTTTGTAAGTTTCCGAGAATTTGTATTTTCAGAAAAAATGACAATTATAGAAGTTACGTGTACGTAGATGCGAAGAAATTCCCGATTTTTACTCGAACGCTGTCACCCATTCATAAAAGATTCACGTTACGCTGACAATAATTATAATGGGAAAGTCATGGACTTCCTGAGCTGAGGGCCCGACAGTGTTGCCATGTTCCTGCTTCATCTCAAGCGGTGTCGCTCCAAATTCCCCAAGAAAAAAATACCCAGTTGGAGGAACTGCTTGCTGAATGCCTTCCTTTCTTCGCAGCAAAATTGGGCTTCAAGCAGACACTCGTTTAGCTGCAATCAAGCCTCAAGCAATTATTTTCACATTACTTTTACTGTGGCAAAGGGGTGAAGGCGCTGCCACTGGCTCCACTGTGTGTGTGTGTGTGTGTGTGTGTGTGTGTGTGTGTGTGTGTGTGTGTGTGTGTGTGTGTGTGTGTGTGTGTGTGTGTGTGTGTGTGTGTGCGTGCGTGCGTGCGTGCGTGCGTGCGTGCGTGTGTGCGTGCGTGCGTGCGTGCGTGTGCGCTTGCGTGCGTCCGTTTGTGAGTGCATCCGTGTACAAAATCATATACTTTTCAACATGGTGACACACTTCACACCGCAAGTCGCCGGGGCAATTTTAGAGGACAAGGCTGGTATAGAACGTGATATTGCAACATTATGTCATAAAGGCCATGAAACTTTAGCGCGGGCAGCGTCAGCGAACAAGGAAGTGTTATTACGGTGCATTACGGTGCTGTGAAGTGGTGTCAGCGCCAGTGACTGAGAATAATACGAGAAATGCCACAACCAAATCCCCAGACTTTATTACATATCAACAAAGCACATCAACAAATCAAAAGAAATCAGCAGTTAATCCCCAAGCAATAAAGAGCGAAAAAAGTTACGTCATATTGATCTACAACGAAGCATCTGCCTCCGACGAGAGTCGGGGACATCAGATGGTTACTGAGGGACCAGCCATGTCTGCTTTCGCCAGTCCACAGCGTCTAACTTTTATTTTATTTTAGCGAACTAAACTAACGACTTCATCGATATGCTGACGTTAATAAGAATTCAGGAAAATAGGTTAAGGGCACTTCGTGGATTTGAAACGAGTCGAAAAAGCGGAAAACTCTCATCACCTTGACTCGGTCCACAGAGGCGATTTCAAGACGACATCTCTCACTTCGCCAATATGTATGTAATCGTAAATTATCTATTTAACGTATATGAGTTAAAGGGAGGTGATACTTCACAGATATGAAATGTATCGGAACGAGAGTGATCACTTATGATTCTACAGTATGTGTAACTACGGTAAAAAAACAACAACACAAGTATGGGTACTTAAAACCAATGTAAACTAAAATGCAATAAAATTATACAATTGTTTATGAAGACGAAAAATACACTTCCAAAGACGGTGATCACACTGCCGGCAGGGGACAGATGGGTGATGATGTTTATTTGATAACTGCCGGGTTGCTGACAATCATTTGAAATAAAAACGAGGTTATTTGAACATATTCTATTCAGCCTCCTGTCATCATTAGTTTCTCTAGTGCATATTCGCCTCGTAGGAAGAAAATGGAAGTTGGAAAACTGCATTTTCCTTATCATGATTCTTATCACTATGACTATTATCGTAATCGTCAGTAGCGTTTACATTATTATTGTTGCTGATGTTATTGTTATTATTATTGTTATTGCCACTTCTATCATTATAATTGTTATCACTTTAATGCAGAATCATTATTCCCAAAGTCAATATAATCGTCATTTACATAACTATCATTATTAACGTTACTACACCATTTATATTACTATCAAAATCATTACATCATTTGCATCAGCTTTAACATCACTACATCACTTACATCATCATTAACATTACTGCATTACCTCATAATATCATACACAACTAAAATTATTTCCACTAACAAAAACCTTCGACCGAAGAAGCATTAAAAGCCTCCTGAATAAGTCGATCGAAGCGGCATAAAAAATGACTCACCAGGAAGATGAAGTTGAAGATGAATAAGACATATTTTAGGAAGTTAATGCTGCAGCAGCCTCGGTCTCTGGGGGCCTTTCTGTACGACGTGTCAGGTCCTGTGGAAGGGAAAACAAAAACTCTTTCAGAGAAGAAAAGAAAAAGAGAAGTATCCATTAGTGAAAATATTCTTTGAGGAATGGAAGATCTACTCTCGCAGTTGAGGAAAACATCATTCGCATTTGGAGAATACTTTTTTTTCTTTTTCTTTTTTTAACTAGAACTTACCACTAGTTTTCTCGAACTGTCATAACCTCCTACATCAACATGTCTGGCAACTGCTCACCACCTGTGTGCCATCTGTTGAATCCGCTGTAAAAACCGAAGGCATGTCTGGCTAACCCGGAGTGTAACTTTAACCCTATATAAACAGATCGTCCAAAGGGCGCACATCAACCCTCCTTTCACAATAACTTCCTCTTGACTTTAAACACACACAAAAAAAGCTTTGGGGGAAGAAAATGTGCATGTGATCTTTAATGAGAGAGGGATTCCGCAGCTTCAGATCCGGCGCTAAAAATACAGGCTGATATAAAGAATTCCCCCTCTTATTAATGCATGACTTCATTAGCCCATGAATCACCCAGGTATCAAAATATAGGTATGTGGTAACGGGACACCCAACGCCAACCCCCAGCGTTCACGGGCCTGCTCGTTCTCCAACACGGGGACACGACAACTCCATCTGCGACGACCTCGTTTATGCATCTTTACTCTCTCGTGTATAGTTATTTTCATATAATGTCGCTTTATTTTCAGTTCGAAAGACATCGTTGAACAGATAAAGAATAGCAATTCCTGTTTTAATACCACCTACATATATATATATATATATATATATATATATATATATATATATATATATATATATATATATATATATATATATATATATATATAAATCCCATTACCGACTGATTCTCGAGTTTTTAGTTATTTTCTATTCGAAAGACATCGTCAAACAAAAATAAAAATAACCATTCCTGTTAAAAAAACACCCATATATATAGCCATCTCATTAGCAACAGAACGCAGTAGTGTAAGTACAATCGCCCTGTGTATGTGCACGCATGTGTGTGTTTATGTACGTACGCGCAGGCTCATGTCTAGTTCGTCACATGTGGGCGTATCTGTGAATGACCTCTCATTGGACGCCTTCTGAATGCAGCGTTCGCAGTGATGAGTGCGGATACCAGAGCCACACGACACGACGGTACTACACACACAAGGAGAGAAGTCGTGTTGAATTTTGCAGGGCAGAAGTGAGGCAACATGCGTGCTTCGTGATATGGAGCCCCGGGAAATGGAGTAGGCCAGTGACACGTTCAACTTACAGTGCAGAGGACCAGCAATGCCCACACTGTCACTCTACACTGAATCAACATGAGGTGGGGGAGGAGGGGAAGGAGAAGAAGAAGAAGAAAAGGAAGAAGAAGAGAGAGAAAAGAGAAAGAAGAAGAAGAGGAAGATTTGAAAGAAGAGCAGGAGGAGGAAGAGAAAGAGAAAGAAAAGGACTAGGAGGAGGAGGAGGAGGAGGAGGAGGAGGAGGAGGAGGAGGAGGAAGAGGAGGAGGAGGAGGAGGAGGAGGTGGAGGAGGTGGAGGAGGTGGAGGAGGAGGAGGAGGAGGAGGAGGAGGAGGAGGAGGAGGAGGAGGAGGAGGAGGAGGAGGAGGAAGAGGAGGAGGAGGAGGAGGAGGAAGAAGAAGAGGAAGAGGAGGAGGAGTAAGAGGAAGATAAGGAAGAAGAAGAAGGAGGAATCGAAGAGAGAGAAAAAGGAGGGAGCAGGACCGCGTATCAGGTTCCGCAGCGACTGGACCCGCAGGCGGCGCCGAGCGAGCGACACCTGCACCGCCAGGAACATAGGGGAGTATGTCACGCCAGGTATATATTACTGCCCCGCGAGAGCCTGGTAACGCCCCTCCGTCCCTCGGCCATACCCCGCCCTCTGCCCGCGCGACAAACTGGTTCGGATCCAGCCGGACTGCCCGCTTGCCTGTCCGTGGGGGGAGGAGGAGGAGGATAATGAGAGGGAGAGGAAGAGATGGAGGAGGATAGTGATGATAAGAGGAGGAGGTAGAGGAGAAAAAGAAGGAGGAGCAAGAGGAAGAGGAAGAGGCGGAGCGTGGAGGAGGAGAATGACGATGGCAAAATCAAGAAACTCCAAGAAAGGCTATAACAGCGATGATCTAAAACGCCCACGACCTCAGCTTTCGGAAGGCGATCATCTGGGTACCCGAGCCTCACAATATACAAAGCTCTAGGATAATAATCATGATCCTTAATATCAACACGGAATCAATTAAAAAGAGGAAGGGAATCCCTAGGATAAGGAGGAGAGGAACAGATCAGAGTAAACCACATAAACAGATAACAGGAACGCGAGACCAACTTTTTTTTAAACATATACCGTAAGTTTCCGGTTTTGAAATATCTGTAAAGTCGATTTCCCGCAATCAGAACCCAAGAAAATGCAATTAAATACTCTCCAGTTTCCCTCAATGCAACTCTTTTCTAATACTATAACTCTTCCAGTCACTGCCAGAGTATGCACACCGATCTCTTACTGTAATGCGTCTTAAAATTACCTTTTTATACTATGTTATCTTTGCTCGTTGTGTTTCGCCATTCGAAGGGGGAAGGTCACGTGACGTAGGCGGTTGGAGATAAAATGAAAATGAAAATTAAAAGAGGAACGAGCAAGACAGTGGATAGAGAGACAGAGAAAATAAAAGTACCTGATCAGCTGAATTTCATTTGTGTGTGTTTATGTGTGTGTGTGTGTGTGTGTGTGTGTGTGTGTGTGTGTGTGTGTGTGTGTGTGTGTGTGTGTGTGTGTGTGTGTGTGTGTGTGTGTCTGTGTGTGTCTGTGTGTGTGTGTGTGTGTGTGTGTGTGTGTGTGTGTGTGTGTGTGTGTGTGTGTGTGTGTGTGTGTGTGTGTGTGTGTGTGTGTGTGTGTGCGCATGTGTGAAAGGAGACCATGTGTACGACAGATGAGTGCCTGTGGCCATAATGAGCACATACATTCTCTCTTGCAATAGGAGAAAATTGTATACATGAAAAACTCTGTACTCCAGTACTTTAAAGAAAGGAAATTATAGGAAAGAAGAGAAGAAAGAGAAGAGAAGGAGGAAAAGAACGAGAAGGAGGAAGATAAGGGAGAGGAATATAAAGAAGAGAAGCTGGAGGAGGAAGAGAAGGAACAGAAGAAGAAAGCGGAAGAAGATAAGAGAGCATAATCGCGTATCAGGTTCCGGAGTAACTCTGATCCTCCGGAGGGCGTGGGCGGCCCCGCACCCTCCTGGATCTCGAGAACACCAGGACATCAGGACGTCACACGCCATCCATTGGCCGACTGCCGATGGGCGTGTGCGGGGCTTCGGAAAACGCCCGATATAAATTCACACGAGCGATTTCCGAAGCTTTCGTTCAGGGGATCGCTTAACGGGACGCATAAGGCAGCGCGGCCGACCTTATAAGGGCTATCACATATGGTCTGCCTTACAGGGGGCGCCTTACAAGGAGCCCCGCCGGTGTCTTTGGCTCCACAATTTGCTATGATACTGTCGTCGACTTCATTACATGATCTCAGTCCTTCCATTCTGGTACCAAAGAAGGGTAAAGCAGAGCCTTGTTGTTGTCTTTAGTACTATTTTTACACTATTCTTTATAGTACGTATTCGAGGTTTTGTTTGGGTAAGTTAAAATACGGTGAAAGCTACGTTAGCCAATGAAAAGTCTCGGTTGGTAATGTTAGTATTTGGCCTGTATTTTTTAGCGGATAAAACCAACCATATATCAAGGTTATGTAAGCATTCTCATCAAAGGTTACCCCATCCTGAGTACACACAGCACCCCGGCCGCTGTCAGTCCAGGTGGCTGACCTCGAAGCCTGCAAACGTTTCCATGCGCAACACGGCGGCAGAATCGCCATCCGTAAAACGTCCACGATGCCGCATAAATTCTGACACTTGCACCTGCACTGCTGCGTCTCATGAGGCATTCTGGTGCAGCTTCTCTGAACTGCTCTTTCCTTACTGATGAAGATGGTTGCCCGAGTATAAAAGCCGTTAATTCCTCTCTCTGCATATAACCATGATTTCACAGACTGCTCTCGGTTCTCATTTTACCAAATGTATTTTCAAGGAGGTTGCAAAAACAACAATAATATACCCTTGCAAAAACAACAATAATACCAAGATATATACAAAACGAAGCGGAAATAACCAAAAAGATCGATAACAAATCTGGCAAAGTTACCAGCAGAAGAATGACTCTATATTCCTCGCGAACATCCCACCGGCGTTTTCCTCAAAGGTCTGATGTGGCGTCTGATTATTTGCTGACACGGTGTATATTTAAGTTTGGAAATATCTGCACGCTCCCGTGTTTAAAATTCGCTTGTACCTTCCCTCATCGTAAACTGCATTTGCAAGTGTGCGTATGTCTGTGCATGTATAAGTTGCTGTAGACATGCGTACGTGCCAGTGTACTTGTGTTTAGTCTCTGACCAGGATTCAGACATGGTAAACATCCCGAGGTCCGTCTGCCAGATCACCAGATTGAGCCGCGCGCTCTGTTGACAACGCCCAGATCTGCATCAGCGACGGGCGGCGATCACCTCCTCGCGCCCTTCTTGCCGAGGCTTCGGGTGGCGAAGGATTGCATGAGGAGTCCGTCCGAGGAGGGAGAGAAAATTAGGGACAGAATAACGCCAGCTTTCAGTTTCGCGTCTGGCTGTCATCCGAGTGACAGCTGTGGGCAGAAGGCTTCACCTGAAACAAAGGCGACACATGTACGATGCGACAACAACTGAAATACTTGTCAGCGAGTCGGTGCTCCCCGTCACGCCCTCCCTTTCCCCACGAAGGACTGAGCTCTCGCTGCTCTAACGACCCTCTCGCCTGCTCTCTTTCCATCTTTTCACTCTCTTATCTCTTCATTTTATCACCATTCCATGTTCAGATGAAATTCCCCTTTCCCGTCTCTCTCTCGGCATCTAGTTCCTTGTCCGTCAGCTCTTTGCCAGGACACCCTCGGCCCTCCTCCCCCATTCCCCCCCG